GCACCCTGCGAGGCCAAAGCCTAGTGTCTATGGCCCAGAGTGGGGGGTCCTCGCTTCCACCTTCGGAGGGCAGGGGCTCCGTGCTCCCTTTTGGGCGGAGAGGAGCTGCCGTCCCGGCAGTGGGATGCCCGCCCACCAGTGCCCCCCACCCCCCGGCCTCTGGAGGAGCCCCGTTAATCTCGTGCTGTCGGTGACGGCTTTCAGACGGGGTAACGACACCTCCGCGGAGGGTGTGCTTTTTATCGGACATCCCTGGTGCCTTTATTGGCTCTAGGAGCGTTACCGGCATAATGAGGAGGGAATTGTTTAAATGCTCATGAAAGGAAAAAGCCAGTGTCCCAGCAGAGGCAGGGCGGCACCTCACTGGAGGGCTCCAGGGGTGCGTCCGCTCCCACGCGGCACAGTAAAAAGTGGCGTTGCCTTGGCGTTTGCGCGTGTCCGCTTCCCTGGGGCCTCCGATGCGTTAGGGGGGCTGCATTCGGGCTCCTCCAGGGTTTGCTCGCTGCCGGGGCCACGCAGGAAGCCAGCCCCAAAGCACCCCTATGCTCGGCGTGAGCCGGGCTGTGGAAAAGGAATCCCGCAGAGCCCAGACGGTAACGTCTGCGTGGCGACGTGCACCTTCACGGGGTGTGCCCACACCCGGGGTCGCACCTGGTCCCTCAGGTCTGTTGTACCCGTCCTACCAGTGAGGAGATCGCGGCTCAGAGAGCGTGGGGGCTCGTGGACTTCACTCCGCTGGGCATGGGGGGGTGGGCACCCACTCTGCCATCTCGCCCCTGGAGACTGCAGAGAGGGTTTTGAACTTGACAGAAACAACAAGGCCCCCCCCCCCCGCCCCCGTAGAGCCTGCAGGGCAGGGGTGTCCATCCTGTGGCCTGAGGGCGGCGCTCAGCCCAGGGTGGCCGTGCGTGTGGACCAACGCAAACTCGTGAGTTTACTTAAAGCACGGTGAGATGTTTCGGTGATGACGTGTCGCAATGTACTTGACGTGGGGCCCGAGACAGCTCCTCTTCTTTTGGTGTGGCCCAGAGGCAGCAGAAGGGTGACACCCCCGCAGCAAAGCAGACCTAGTAGGGGCTTCTGCCAGCTGCCATGGACAATGTCTGGGGAAGGGGGGGGGGAGGGAGGGAGGAAGGGAGGAGGGAGGGAGGGAGGGGCGGGTTCTGGCTCCGAGCCACCGGATCTGAGCCTGACCTAGTGCTCAACTGCAGCCGACATTTTCAGGTCTGGCGGCCGCGCTTCACGTTGCCAGGAAAGTTGCTTCACGACAACAGACCCGTCAGGCTGCAGCGTTAGCATCCTGTCCGGGGCCACCAGTGATGCCCTCCCCTCGTGGAGACCCCGTGTCCCCTGGGCGGGTGGCCCTGAGCTGCAGCACAGGGTGAGGCCAGGAGGCCTCTCGTCCCAGGCAGGGGCGGGGGCCCGCCCTCGGACCCTCGGACCCTCGGACCCTCGGAGGACCCAGGGTCTTCGGCTGCATGTACAAGTGGGCCGCCCGTGACGGTGCGTGCCATGAGTCTGAAACAGGGAGCGAGGGTTCGGGTGGAAATACGTTCCCAGGGGCTCTCTGAGACTTTCTGACGCTGCTCAGTTCTTGAAAGGGGGCAGCCCTGGTGCTCAAGGCTGCTTCTGGGCGACAGAGAACCATGACGACGCCGTGACACGGGAACGAGCCTTGCGTTAAAAAAAAAGAAGGGAGGCAGGGGGGAGAGGGAGTTGCTTGGAGAGGGCCTTCGAGGGCCTGGGAGGGCTTGTAAAAACCGGAAGCTGTCCGGTCCTGGGAGGGCCGGCACCCGCAGAGATGGTCGCCAGCACGAGGAGGGGAGCCCGGGAGCCTGGGCCGTTTCGGGGTACAGCAAAAGAAAGGGCTCCCCCTGGTACGGCGAGGGGCCCTGAGATCCGATGCGATGGAGAATCACGGGCAGGTGGCGTCCTCCCCAGGCCGCTCCCGGGTGCAGCGTTCCGAGTGTCTTCCCGTCTTTTTTTAAAACAAGAAGTGCAAACATCTGAGCTGCCGGGAGCATGTCGCTACAGGTTTCCCCGCGGCTGCCATTGTGAGTTTATTTTTAAAAAATGTTTTCATCGGCCGTTTTGGCGGCAGAGCAGCCTTCATCCCTGGCCTGCCTGTGAGTTCTGGATTTTCTTCTGCTCACCACATTCCTCACAGGCAGGAGAACTTTCTAGAAAACGTGTGGCCAGCAGGACAAGAAACAGGGAGCGCTCTGCAGACACCCAAGGAGATGGAGAGGGTGAAAGGAGAGACTGGGGTGGGGGGAGAGGGGGTCCCACGGAGAGGCAGGGAGCCCCAGAGCAGCTGGGTGCTGTGACTCGGCGCGCGAGGCCGAGATGAAGGGCGGAGAGGCACTCTTCGACCTATGACCTTGTGGGCAGCCCTTCATTTGCATTATTGGCTTCTGTGTCAGAAAGGGACTTGTATTTAAGTGCTTCTTATTTATCACTTATTTATCTCTCCTCGCTCGGGTTTGAGGGTGACTCGAACTGTGGCTGCTGGCCAGCTGTCCCACGTGCGAGACTGTCAGAGACGCAGGGCCCCGGTCCCCACGCACGGCTACCAACAAGCTGAGGACAGGAGACGGTGTGCACTTCCTCTGCTGGCTGAGGGATTTGCAGAGAGGGCTGCCGGCCGGCCTGGGCTGCTGGGGAAACGCAGGCTGCCCACAGACTTGGGAAGACAGCCCTCTGCCCTCCTGCCCTGCCCTAGTGCTTCCCCGGTGGGGCCAGTTCTCCTTGGGCCCCAGGTTAGAAACTGAATTACCCAGACACACTGGGGGAGGGACATTACCCAGGCGCCCTGGAGAAAGAAAATGGTGTCACTCAGAAGTTCTCCTTGAGCTGTTTTTTTTTTAACTATTCTTTTTTTTAGGATTTTTTGTTTATTTATTTTTAGAGAGGGGAAGGAGATAGAGAGAGAGAGAGAAACATCAGTGTGCGGTTGTTGGGGGTCGTGGCCTGCAACCCAGGCATGTGCCCTGACTGGGAATCGAACCTGCGACACTTTGGTTCGCAGCCCGCACTCAATCCACTGAGCTACGCCAGCCAGGGCTTCCTTGAGCTGTTTTTAAAAAGGTGGGGGGGCAGGCTGAACTTCAGAGTTCTTTTTCCCTTTCTGTCCTCCCTGCCCAGTGGTCTCCTCACCGCCAGACACACAGACGCAGCAGAGGAGACAGCGGTGAGATGACCCCGCGGGACAGCAGACCCGTGAGGCCTGCCCTCGGTGTCTGGAGGGGGTGGGCCGGCCCCGGTGGTTGTGTGGTCCGGGAGCATCGACACCCTGCCCCCCCGGACGCACGCTGCTTCCCTGGGACCTTGCTCGCGTCCCATGGTCCCCTGGCGGGGGAGGCCCTGGCCCCTTGGGAGTCACAGGCCTAACCGACCGGTGTGGAATTCACGTGCTCCCTGAGCCACCTGGTTTTCCTGCTGAGGGTGCAGCCCCCCCAAAATACAGTTCATGGGTGGAAAGCAAAATATAAGCCTCTGCACGGCGTTTCAGAAGTCCTTCAACGCCTGGGGAGAGGCGAGAGGAGGGGCTGTGCTCTGGGCTCAGCCCCCCGGAGCCCCCCCCCCCGCCCAGGAACTAGCACTGGTCGCGGTCACCAGGGAGTCTGTGGCTGCCACGCGCCGTCTGTGTTGGAACCTCCCCAGTGCAGGGGGGCTGGACGAAACCAGGGGGTTCTTCAAGGCTGCGGCTGCGATGTCTTGTTCCCTGTTCCTTCGTGGCCCGCGAGCAAATCCGAAGGCGGCGGGCAGGGCCTCCCGCGCCCGTCCTGTGTGTGGGAAGCGCCAGGAGAGGTTCGGGTGGGCGGGGCAGCCAGCTTCACCCGCAGGTCGAGGCGGGCAGCCGCGAGACGGGTTCTGGAGGACAATGACGGACAGGACCTTGGCGTTTGGCTCCGAGCCACCCGTGTCCGTGGTGGCTGGCCCCGGTGCCACCGGAGCCAGTATGTAACAAATCCGTACTCGCCACCATTCATCCTGACTGCCCCGTCAGACTGGACATTCTTTCATTCCGTTAACATCCTGGCAAGGGACTTCATGTAGGCCGGGGGGCCCCCCCTCGCCCCCCCTCCCTGGGGGTCTGAGGAGGCTGGATCCCCGACAGTGGTTAGGGTGCACGTGAGGCCGTGGCAGGGCAGCTGTCACACAGCAGCGACCTTCATAACAGGCCAAGTCCCCGCGGTCCCCGCACACCCGTGTTCAACTTGGACAGCGCTCTCTGCACCGATGCTGGTGCTTGCACCTCCGGCACTCCCTGGAGCTAACATCCCAGACGGTGCGGGGGTGTCGGTCGTTCCCCTTTGAAAGGTGTTTGGGAGGCGGTTCGGTTTGACCTGTGTCCTTAGAACGTCCTGGGATTGGATGTTACCGTCGGGGGTGCACGGATGCGGGGGGTGGGTCTGGGCCTGCCCGCAGGGGACATTGGGTACTGCCTGCAGAGATTTTTGGTCTTAGTGACTGGGGGTAGGGGTTGCTACTGGCTCCTGGGGGGCAGAGGCCAGGGATGCTGTGGGACACCCTACACAGGGCAGCTCCATGACAATGAATTACTGGGGTCTAACTGTCAGTCATGCTTGGTGGACACCCCAGCCCCAGCATTGCCGGGTGTGGCCTGGACTCTCCCCGACACAGTCCAAACTCGATGTCACTCCTGTTACCGGAACCAGGCATTCTCCCAAACACCTCTCATCTGGCTTCGGAGCTACTGGGAATAAGGACACCTTTTCTTCGAGGGGGACAAACCAAGGTCTACGGCATTAAAGTGCTGAGCTGAGGTCCCGTGGCAGGTCTGGGCTTTGCCCACATAACCCATGGAAGCCTGCAGGCAGCCGGAGCACGCACAGCGTGGCCGGAGGGTCTGCCACTCGGCACACAGGCCTGGGCCTTGCAGATCTGTGCTTTTGGGTCGGGGGTCCCGCAGTGCACATGCCCCGGGCTGCTTCTCACGCTCTCTTCTCTGCCTTTCTGTCCACGTGTCTCCCCAGGTAAAGATGAGCCTTCCAGCTACATTTGCACAACATGCAAGCAGCCCTTCAACAGCGCGTGGTTCCTGCTGCAGCACGCGCAGAACACGCACGGCTTCCGCATCTACCTGGAGCCCGGGCCGGCCAGCAGCTCCCTCACGCCGCGGCTCACCATCCCGCCGCCGCTGGGGCCCGAGGCCGTGGCCCAGTCCCCCCTCATGAATTTCCTGGGCGACAGCAACCCCTTCAACCTGCTGCGCATGACGGGCCCCATCCTGCGGGACCACCCGGGCTTTGGGGAGGGCCGCCTGCCCGGCACGCCGCCCCTCTTCAGCCCGCCGCCGCGCCACCACCTGGACCCGCACCGCCTCAGTGCCGAGGAGATGGGGCTTGTCGCCCAGCACCCCAGTGCCTTTGACCGAGTCATGCGCCTGAACCCCATGGCCATCGACTCGCCCGCCATGGACTTCTCAAGGCGGCTCCGCGAGCTGGCGGGCAACAGCTCCACGCCGCCGCCCGTGTCGCCAGGCCGAAGTAACCCTATGCACCGGCTCCTGAACCCCTTCCAGCCCAGCCCCAAGTCCCCCTTCCTGAGCACGCCCCCACTGCCGCCCATGCCCCCCGGCAGCACGCCGCCGCCCCAGCCGCCCGCCAAAAGCAAGTCGTGCGAGTTCTGCGGCAAGACCTTCAAGTTCCAGAGCAATCTCATCGTGCACCGGCGCAGCCACACCGGCGAGAAGCCCTACAAGTGCCAGCTGTGCGACCACGCGTGCTCGCAGGCGAGCAAGCTCAAGCGCCACATGAAGACGCACATGCACAAGGCCGGCTCGCTGACCGGCCGCTCCGACGACGGCCTCTCGGCCGCCAGCTCCCCGGAGCCGGGCACCAGCGAGCTGGCCGGCGAGGGGCTCAAGGCCGGCGGCGACTTCCGCCACCATGAGAGCGACCCGTCGTTGGGCCACGAGCCAGAGGAGGAGGACGAGGAGGAGGAGGAAGAGGAGGAGGAGCTGCTGCTGGAGAACGAGAGCCGGCCCGAGTCGAGCTTTAGCATGGACTCGGAGCTGAGCCGCAACCGCGAGAACGGCGGCGCGGGGGTGCCTGGGGTTCCAGGCGCGGCTGGAGTGGGCGCCGCGGCCAAGGCGCTGGCCGATGAGAAGGCACTGGTGCTGGGCAAGGTCATGGAGAACGTGGGCCTGGGCGCGCTGCCTCAGTACAGCGACCTGCTGGCCGACAAGCAGAAGCGCGGCGCCTTCCTGAAGCGTGCGGCAGGTGACACGGGTGACGACGATGATGCGGGTGGCTGCGGTGACGCGGGGCCGGGCGGCGCGGTCAACGGGCGTGGCGGAGGCTTTGCGCCAGGCGCCGAGCCCTTCCCGGGCCTCTTCCCGCGCAAGCCCGCGCCGCTGCCCAGCCCCGGGCTCAACAGCGCGGCCAAACGCATCAAAGTGGAGAAGGACCTGGAGCTGCCGCCCGCCGCGCTCATCCCGTCGGAGAACGTGTACTCACAGTGGCTGGTGGGCTACGCGGCGTCGCGGCACTTCATGAAGGACCCCTTCCTGGGCTTCACGGATGCGCGCCAGTCGCCCTTCGCCACGTCGTCCGAGCACTCGTCCGAGAACGGCAGCCTGCGCTTCTCCACGCCGCCCGGGGACCTGCTGGACGGCGGCCTTTCGGGCCGCAGTGGCACGGCCAGCGGCGGCAGCACGCCGCACCTGGGCGGCCCCGGCCCCGGGCGGCCGAGCTCCAAGGAGGGCCGCCGCAGCGACACGTGCGAGTACTGCGGCAAGGTGTTCAAGAACTGCAGCAACCTGACGGTGCACCGGCGGAGCCACACCGGCGAGCGGCCTTACAAGTGCGAGCTGTGCAACTACGCGTGCGCGCAGAGCAGCAAGCTCACGCGCCACATGAAGACGCACGGGCAGATCGGCAAGGAGGTGTACCGCTGCGACATCTGCCAGATGCCCTTCAGCGTCTACAGCACCCTGGAGAAACACATGAAAAAGTGGCACGGCGAGCACTTGCTGACTAACGACGTCAAGATCGAGCAGGCCGAAAGGAGCTAAGCGCGTGCGCGGGTGGGCGCCCCGCCCCTGTACAGTGGACCCGTTGCCAAGCGACAGAATGCTGACCTGACACTTGCCTCCGTGTCACCACCACCACTGAGCACCCCGCGTGTCCCCGGGGCTCAGGGGGAGGCGGCCCTCCAACCTAACCTGTGTCTGCGAAGTCCTATGGAAACCCGAGGGTTGTTAAGGCAGTCAGAATTGTGGAGCCTTTTAACTGTGCAATAATTTCTGTATTTATTGGGTTTTGTAATTTTTTTGGCATGTGCAGGTACTTTTTATTATTATTCTTTCTGTTGAAATTCCTTTAAAAGATTCTGTTGGGTATCCATCCCTTCTTCATTTTTTTTTTAAAACCCAGTAGTAGCCTGAGCAATGACTCGCAAGCAATGTAGAGGGAAGCATATCTTTTAAATTATAATTTTTTTGGGGGGGGCGCTGCTTTTTTGAAATTTAAGCTAAGCATGTGTAATTTCTTGTGAAGAAGCCAACACTTAAATGACTTTTAAAGTTGTTTACTTTTTTTAATTCCTCTTTTTTTGGTCCTGAAATGAAAAGTGGCATGCATTTTTTGGGGGGGTGGGGGGCGATGTACAGCGGATAACAATCTTTAAAGTTGTAGCACTTTGTTTCAGAATTGGAGTGGAGATGTAGCACTGATGATGTCCTGAGCGACAGAGGCCTTTTCTGTGTTGATTTCGACCTTTCCATGAGTGGACGGAGGGGAGCTTGGGGTGGTGGGGGAGGGGCCCGAAAACTCCGCACTGCCAGAAAAATAAGAGTTTTTGAGGGCTCCTCTTGAAAACGGCCCAGAAGATTCTAGGATTGTGCATTCCCAGCACACACGCTCCCCTTCTTGAAATGCGGGTTGGCCCCGGGACGCCATCTCGGCTGCTTTGCTGTGGAACAGGCTAAATACAATGGGCTGAGGGTACTTTTTTGGGGGGTAGATGGTGGTGGCCTGCAGTGACACAGAAAGGAAGAAACCAGAGGTGTTCTTTCAGGCTTCTTCTGGCTTGACAGCTTCTCTCTCTCTCTCTCCCCCTCTCCCCGCCCTCTCGCCTTCTCCCCCCTCCCTCTCCCTCCCTCTCCCTCCACCATGAACATCCCACGACTTTCGTTGCTACACATGATAATTGGCTGATCATTTCTCAAGCAGACAAGTGCCCTGATGGTGAACTGAGGGAGGCGAGTGCTCTCCTTTCACGCACACCGATGACATGGTAGGGACAGGGGGCGGGGAAAATCTTGCGAACTTCCACTCCCGTTTACCGGAAGAGCAGGGAAAGTTCCATCCGAAGGTGCCCAGCGCTACTTCCCGATTTTTTTTTTTTTCTTCTACCCCATTAGGTTGGAAGGTACTAAACATTGGACTGTTGAGATTAGACATTTGAATTCTGTTGACCCGCACTTTAAAGCTTTTGTTTGCGTTTAAATTAAATGGCTTCTAAACAAGAAATTGCAGCATATCCTTCTCTTCGGCCCAGAGGTGGGTTAAACTGTAAGGGACGGCTGAGATTGAGTGTCAGTGTTGCTAAGCGCGGCATTCCCAATACTGGCACTATAAAGAACCAGATGAAATAGTAACTTATTGGACAGTTTTTCTACTGCCGATCGATCTGATGTGAGTGCCTTGAAAACTGATCTTCCTATTTCAGTCTCTTGAGACAAATGCAAAACTCTTTTTTTTTTTTTTTGGAAATGAAAAGACTTTTTTTAAAAAGTAACACAAGAAAAAGTACATTCTCTAGACACAAACAAAGCCACATTTACTTTAAGTAAATTTTAGAATTCCTGGTTGAAGATAGAGGACATGAAAATGCCATAAGACCCAATCAAATGAAGAAACAGACCCAGCACAACCCTGGACATCCATTACTAGCTGAACGGCCCTCAGCCCCCTTCTGTTCGTGGGACTGCGCTGCTTAGAGGTGGAGTGGAGGTGATTTACTGCTGAATTAAAACTCAAGTGACACAAGTTACAAGTTGATATCGTTGAGTGAAAAACAAAACGACAAAAAAAAATTCAGGAACAATGGCTCATTTTTTTTTTCCTAAAGTTAAATTTAGTGCACTCTGTCTTAAAAATACGTTTACAGTATTGGATACATACAAGGGTAAAAAAAAATTGTGTGTATGTGTGTTGGAGAGATCTTTTTTTTTTTCAAAGTTTGCTTAATAGGTTATTACAAAATGCCACCGTGGCTGCGTGTATATTGTTTTCTTTTGGTGACGGGGTTTTAGTATATATTATATATATTAAAATTTCTTGATTACTGTAAAAGTGGACCAGTATTTGTAATAATCGAGAATGCCTGGGCATTTTACAAAACAAGAAAAAAAAACCTTTTCCTTTTCCTTGAAAATGTTGCAGTAAAATTTAAATGGTGGGTCTATAAATTTGTTCTTGTCACAGTAACTGTAAAGTCGGAGTTTTAGTAAATTTTTTTCTGCCTTGGGTGTTGAATTTTTATTTCAAAAAATGTATAGAAACTTGTATTTGGGGATTAAAAGGGGATTGCTACACCATGTAGAAAAAGTATGTAGAAAAAAGTGCTTAATATTGTTATTGCTTTGCAGAAAAAAAAAATCACATTTCTGACCTGTACTTATTTTTCTCTCCCCACCGCCCTCTGGAATGGATATATTGGTTGGTTCATATGATGTAGGCACTTGCTGTATTTTTACTGGAGCTTGTAATTTTTTAACTGTAAGCTTGTCCTTTTAAAGGGATTTAATGTACCTTTTTGTTAGTGAATTTGGAAATAAAAAGAAAAAAAAACAAAAACAAACAGGCTGCCATAATATATTTTTTTAATTTGGCAGGATAAAATATTGCAAAAAAAATTTGTATGTTAAGTCCTATTGTACAGGAGGAAAAGGGTTGTTTGACAACCTTTAAGGGAAAGAAACAGAAGGAAGCAGTGAAAAGCTTTGGTTCACCAGTCGTTTGAGTTGTACATATTTTTGACGGGATTGGCCTGTGCACAGGAATGTGGGGGCCGGGCCTCCCTCCGCACGCAGCCGGACCTTGCACCGGGGCTCCCCGGGGTGGCCACGGCAGACCGCATGGGAGCGCCCTGATTTGGGATGAGTGGAAATGTCAGTTTCCGTACAGGTGTCGGTGACGTCTCACAGAGCCCCGCTTGCTCTCACGGGCTGTCTGTGAGATGTCAGCCGCAGAGAGGGCCAGGGAGCCTCTTCCTTCTCCACTGTCCCTGCGGTGGCGGTCACTGCCACCGCCACCGCCACCGCCACCACTGCCACCTCTCCCGCCCTTAAGAGCAGAAAGAAATGCAAACTGAGCTTTCTTGAGCCCTTGACAAAACATTAAACAAACAAAGAATGTAACAAAAGGAGCTGGCCTATCACCTAGGCACAGGTGACCCCATCTGCTGCTGAGAGCAGCGCACATTGGATTGTGGGAGGGAGTCCCCTCGCCACCTGGACCTTTCACTCCACGGAGAGCGCTGGCCTGCGGTCTTTCTTACCTGCTCTGCTGCTTGCCTTCCCGAAACCCACGCTCCGTCCGTTTCCGAACGCCTAGGCCCCGGGGTGGATGCCGTGCCTTGCCGTCTCTCTCCTTCCTCATGTTTCCTCTCCATCCTCCAGCCTCTGTCGGTCCTGTATCTGTCCCTTTTCATTTAATTTATTTCCTGTCTCCCCTCCCTGTCCCTTCCCTATTTTTTTTTTTTTTTTGTAAAGCCAAGTAGCTTTAAGATGATAAAGTGGTAGTTTTTTTGGATGAGGGAATAATACATTAAAAAAATACCTATATCAGGAAGCCATTTTTTATTTCAGGAACTGTAAGGAATCATTATTTCAGGTTATGGAAGTCTAACCAAGCATCCTTTTGGGCAATTCTTGACCAAATGCAGAAACCTTTCTTCTGGGGGCTTCTCTGTTTCATAGGCTCTTTCCTCCTTGCCACTAACCTTTGCTCAGTGAGAAGAAGGGGGAGGGGGTGGGAGATAAAGCTAAGATGTCAGTTTCCTGCCCGCTTGACCCCAAGACCCATGGGCCACCCTGGTAAGGCACCCCGAGAGCCTCCAAGGGGACCCTCCTGTCGTTGTCAACACAGCCAGCTCCCACCTGCTCACACCACGTCCCCCGAATGCCAGGACTAAGCCATCCTAAAGCACAAAGATTGTGTCTCCGTCCACCGACGGCAGAGGGAAGAGCATTTTGCTTCTCTTTCTTGTGTCAAAAGCCAGCCCTCCAGCGGACGACCCGCGGGGGGAGGCCCCCAGCCTGGTGTCCACACTGCCACAGCTCTGTTCCGAGTTGCCCCCAGTGGGAACCTGCCACTTGCCAGGAGAGGGTCTTTCACGGGGAGAGGCGGAGGCTGAGCCGTAAGGAAAATGTGAAAAGGCGAGGAACTCAGCCCCCCCTCCTGGCCCCGAGGGACAGCCGGGCGAGGTCGCGTGGGACTCGGGCAGCCCCGGGCCTCCGGTGCTCTCCGGATCTCAGCGCCGCGCGGCCGAGTTCCGCTGCTTTCAGCTGTACTGGCGAGGCAAACTATTTTTATTACCTTTTCTATTCCTCATTGTATGAGCTTTTGTTGTTTACTTGGAGGTTCTGTCTTTTACTACAAGTTTGGAACTATTTATTATTGCTTGGTACTCGTGCTCTGTGGAAGAAACGGGCACTTTTTTAAAAAAAAATTGTGGATAAAACGTTGAGATGACGGGAGGTCATTTCAATATGGCTTAGTAAAATATTTATTGTTCTTTTATTCTCTGTACCAGATTTTGGGCCTCTTTTTCCCCTTAATGTCACGATGTTGAGTTCAGCATGTGTCTGCCATTTCATTTGTACGCTTGTTCAAAACCAAGTTTGTTCTGGTTTCAAGTTATAAAAAATAAATTGGACATTTAACTTGATCTCCGAACCTTGTCCTTTTCTGTGTCTTTCAAGGGTGGGGGAGGGACGGCTTATTTCCGAGGGTGAATTGGAGGTCTTTCTCCATTTTCCTCCTGACCCAAGCCCCCCTGCCCGCATCTGGGCAGATGGGAAAGAAAGGCGTGGGAGTGTGACAGGTTTCTTTATTTACTCCCGCCAACCAGCGTGAGTTAGAGCAGCGGTCCTCGGGCCTGGCTGGACCCTGGCATCACCTGGGAGCGTTGAAGAGCCTCAGCGCCCAGGCCTCACCCCAGCCCATTTTCTATCAGGACCTCTGGAGCTGGGATCCAGGCATCAGAGTTTTTGAAAGTGGTCCAGGTGGTTCCCACGCACAGCCGGGCTTGCGAACAAGTGGTTCAGAAGAAACCGCCGAGACTGACAGGTCTCGGGCTCACGTTGCGGGGACACCCAGTGAGCGCGCTGCACGAGGCATCCAGGGGTAGGCAGAGCCACGTGGCTCTGCGCCCTGAATCAGGGCCCCTCGGGTCTCCGGGGGTCTCGGAGCGAGGGTGCGGGGCCAGACAGCACCTCCGAGCACCGTGAGAGGTCCCAGATCACGCAGGAAGACTGCCTTCCCGCCCCGTGTGCCGGATCAGCGGTTTCCAGCCTTTATCACCGCGTGGCACACACAAACTGCAGTGATTACTAAAATTGGGTGGCTCGCCAAAAATATGTTTTTGCTGATCTGACCAAAAAACAGATATCATTTTGATTCACTCACACCTAGGACGGCTATTGTTGTGTTGGCTGTTGCCTTTTTTTTTCATTGGACCGTCTCAGGGAAAAGAGGTCCGTGCCCCTCACTAAACCATCGGGTGCGCATGTTTTAAAATGTCTTGCAGCACACCGGTTGAAAAGCGCTGTCGTGGCTGTTAATAGACGTAAGGAAATGTTCTTTAGGGGTAACCTCAGGGATCCAGAGGAGGAAGGAAGGTGTGGCGGAAGGAAATGGCCTCCCAGTGGGTGGTTCCCAGTTCCCGGGCTGGAGCCGCAGCCTGGCTGGAGGGGGAGGAAGGCGGCGCTCGGGGGGCGTCGGCCACGCAGGCGCACAGGTGCCTCGGGTTTCCTCCTCGGGGGCGAGCGAGCCCGCCGCTGAGTGCGGAGCGATCCAAGACCCCCGGGGTCCTGACGGCTCTTCTTGTGTTTCCCGCTCGGAAAGCACAGAGCGCCTTCCCCTCGAGTCGCCTGCCGCACGTTCACGGGGCGCCATCCAGCCATCAGTGAAGCGCCCCCAACTGGGCAGCCCGAGGGTCTCGGCCAGGAGACTGCACGCAAGACGCAAACCCCACACCCTGCTTGCAAGGCGTCTCGTGGGTTCTGCCAACAGAGATGATGGGTGAGACCATGTGGCATGTGCCCCCCTCTGTCCGGTCTTCACCCCGCTCTCCCGAGACCACGCCCGCCCACTGGAGGGAAGGTAGTGGGGTTTGAACTCCAGCTCCCGAAATGGAGTTGGTGCGGTTCAGGAGAGACCTGCCCCGTCCCAGGGGCTCACGGAGCAGGACTCCCCAGCGAGGAATTCTCTCCTTCTCCTCCGTAGGTCCTGGCCTCCAAGTCTCTCCCTGGGGGGCTTTAGAATGAGGTGTCTGTGTCTTTCCCCGCCCAGGAAACGGTGCAGACAGCAGAACCGAAAGGCCCCGTTGTCCTCTCCCCTCCGAGTACGAACCAGACCCGACCCTGCTTTGCTTCCGAGACCGGACGAGACCGGACGAGACCGGACGAGACCGGGTGCGGCAGGGCGCGGCGTCCAGGGTGGTGTGGCCGTGGCCGGCCCGTGGTGCTCTGGTCCGAATACGCAGAGACGCGCTCGTTTGGGGAACACCCTGCATCTTCGCGTTGGTGAGCAAACACCCAGACTGAGGGTCCCAGATTGCTGGGGCGAGTGTGGAAACACCAGGGAGTGCCTGTCATTCACACTTAGAGCCTGCCCCGTGACTTCAGGCCAGTCCTTCCCCGTGCTGGGCCTCCGTTTCCCCGTTTGTGTCACGGACAGGGGAGGTGATCGGGAAGGACTCCATCTGCCTTCTGGTAGTTGGGCCGCGGTGAGAGGGTCTGTCGCACGGGAGCAGATGACGAACTTCGGTGGGAGTGTTAACGTCAGAAATGTCCCCGTCCGGATTACAAACGTCAAGGGGAGGACGGGCCCTCGAACACACAGCCCCTATTGTTGCTGGGCGTCCCTCGGAGTCTGCAGCCGCCGCTCGCGTCACGTTCCCCGCCGCCTCCAGACGCCCGCAGCCCTGCGGGGGCAGCAGAGGCAGCCGCTGCCCTCCCCGCTCCTGAGCTGGAAGTTCAGCAATTAAAGCCAGAAAAACACCCCCTTCTGCTGCGGAGATAAAACCAGATGAATAGAACTTTTTAAATGTTAATGTGATGAAATGTGTAATGAAACTCATGTAACTTTCAAACCGGGGAGGATGGAAATTCTCGCGTGCAGGTGAAGTCTTGAGTCGTTAATTGCCCGCCCGGCATAACCTTCAAAACAATTTTACAGGATTCTCGCCGCAGACCATTTAGGGTGCTCTGAAGGTGTCAAAACAGGCTGAGCTCAGGGGCTTGCTTAATTCCCAAAGGGAAGGCTGAGCCGGGTGTCAGGCCCGGGCACACGGGCGCGTCTCGGGCCTGGCCTTGGCCCTCACAGAGCTCCTGGCTCAGCGAGAGCCGCGCACGGCAGGGAATGGACTGCGGGGGCGGGGGTGCGGGCAGTGAGAGGGCCCCGGGGTGTGGAGCAGCTCCGCAGCCGGGGAGAGGGATGATGGTCCGGGCAGTGCTGCTGCTCCCTGAGAGGGGAGTCGAGGTCCACTCGGGGGATGAGGGCAGGAGAGGGAGAGGCGGCCTCTCTCGCAGAGCGTGTGACGCGGGAAGGTGCGTGGACGTGGGACAAGCACAGTGAAGGTCATGGGGAAGCAGAATCCTGGAGTTGGGGGGACTCTTAAAAATCATCAAGTGCCGTTCCACCCAATTTAGGGTCCTCTCCTAAACCCTAATGCATAACATTTCCATCCATCCATCCATCCATCCATGTATCCATCCATCCATGTACCCATCCATGTATCCATCCATCCATCCATCCATCCATCCATGTACTCATCCATTCATTCATCCATCCATTCACCTATCTATCCATTCACACGTTGTTCGTTTAATAAGCATTTAGCAAAGGCCCATGCTCTGTCACAGACTCTGCTGACAGGTTACAGATCAATAAGACTCACCCCGCCTTGCAGGGGGTTGCCTCTCAGTGGGCAGTGAGGGACACGCATCCACATATTCAGTTCTTTGTCCCATTAACTACCCCGGAGTTCCTGCTGAGGGCCCCCCCCCCCCCCGACTCCTCGGCCTTGGAGCTTGTGCCCTGGGGTGACTCCCGAGGAGCTAGCTGGGGAGGCCGTCGGGGACCAGACGGCAGGGCTCTGTCCTTCCGATGGGAGCCAGGATCCAGCAGGAGGCGGGAGGAGACACTCACGTCCTTCCTCACAGGTTAGGAGGCCCAGTCCTCGCCCCATTGTGTCTGCCACTGTCCAAACTGTCTCTGTCCCTGTGGCTTAATCCTCACAGGCTGTAACAAAGATGTACTTGTGTTCCTGTGATCTTTTATAATTAAAAATGTAGAGCAAGGACTTGTCCAGTTTAGGGCACACCTCAGGGCGTGAACCCAGGGGTCCTGGTGAGAGGAAGCCAGTGGTCACTTCCCATGTCCCAACTCTGAAATATGGTGATGATGCCGGTGTGTCACTCATGGGGCAGGACACATGGAACTTTTTGGGGGGGCGGGGGTCAGGATGCACGGCAGGATGAAGTTTCCAAAGGGTGGGCCAGCCTTCCAGCAAAGCAAAGAGCTCCTCGCCCTCCTCCCCCACTTCCACGGACAAGCAGGCTCTAAGCACCGCCTCCTTGTCCTGTGTGCAGTGTGGAAGCCACTGTGAAGACCCAGGGAGTGAGGAAGAGAAAGGAAGACATGAAGAGGCAAACCCAGGGGACACTCCCAGATCCCAGCCACCGTCAGCACTCAGCATGGACCCAGCCCTTCCGCTTGTGTTTGGAGGTTCATCCTGACACTAGATTGTGTTATCACCCTCCATCAGCGGTCATTTCTGGGGCTGGCCACGACGAGAGCCGTCGTCACCTTGTCATTCTCTCAAACGGAAGAGCTGGTGAAGGCCTTTTCCGTTGTGTCGTCCGACACGCCCTGGGTGTCAGTTTCACGGGCTTCGTCCCATCAGTCCAAGTTCTCGCGTGTTTCGAGGGCTGTCACGGATCTGACTCTTCGGTGGTTTGTGATTTCAGATCGCGAGCTCACCCTTGTGGGTTCCCCCTCTGGGCGAGGCCGCTGAGTTCTGGTGATAAAAATGCCCTTCAGCCGTGGCTGGTGTGGCTCAGTGGCTTGAGCACTGGCCTGAGAACCAACGGGTCACTGGTCTGATTCCCAGTTGGGGCACATGCCTGCGTTGCGGGCCAGGTCCCCAGTGGGGGGCAAACAAGAGGCAACCAGAGGCAACCACACATGGATGTTTCTCTGCCCCTTTCTCCTTCCCTTCCCCTCTCTCTAAAAATAAATAATAAAATAAAATCTTAAAAAATAAATGCCCTTCAGAGCATGTTCATGGCTGCTTCTGTGGACCCAAGGGCTTCCGTTGTTCTAGAAAGGGAGTGTAGACCTGGACCGCACACGTGCTTGGCTCCAGGCAGGCCACGCTTCTGCAGCCCCTCAAAGTGCAGACTCTGTGCGTGGGGGCCCATTGCAGGCGCCCAGCCTCACATGCACGGATGTCGGACGCTAGTTCCCAGTGTCCCGCTCCGTCTGCGGGTCGGAAGCCGGGGGGCCGCGGAGGCTGTGTTCAGTACTCTGGCTTCCGTTTGTCTTGCTGTCGGGGGTTCCTTTGCTTTTGAGTTTAGACACACACACGCAGTATACACAACTATACGTTGACTTGGCCAAAAAGTTTGTTTGTTTTTTTCTGAAC